TTCGATTCTACTATGGACATAGTAGTAAACATAGAATAATTATTTTCATATGCTTTCCACCAAGATAAAATATCAAAATTTCCTATGTTGGAAATCTAACATTTTGATAGATGTCATTAAATGTTATTTAAGTGAAATAACTTGTTAAAAATCACAAACCAAAGGTAACTAGTTTCGAACCCAAGTAATTTGCTTATAACAATAATTAATTAACCATTATGCCAACTTTAATTACTTATTATAATGACATGTTTTTTTATACTTAAAGTAATCTTTTTTGCCTTGGTGGATGTTTCCCAACAAATGCTATAAATTTGATTATTAATATTTACATAATAATAAGATGAATACAAGTTATATTTATTTATTAAAATTAAGGTATATATTAACTTGTATATATAATAAATATTATCTAAATCTATGTATAATAAATATTAACTAATAAATGATTTCAAAAAAATATTAACTAATAAATATTAGTATATATATACACACACATTTTAGTTCTTCTATTATTTTTCAATGGTTACTAATTATATCCCGATACTTTATATAAATCATTAAAGAATGATTTTTATGTTTAAATAAATTAGTTATACTCACATAAAACTCATTTTTATTATTGTTCATATTTTTAAGGTTTTTTTCAGATTTTCTAGTGTATCCATGCGTATCTTGATTTTTCGTCCGTATCTATACGTTTCCAAAGCATATCTCGATACGTCTCTTAAAATTACCTTTCCAATACACCTTACGTTTCCGATACTTTGGACCTTGCCTTAGAATTATTAGGGCCAACAAAAGATTGGGCTTGAAAGTTAATAAATATTAAAATATGAAACTTATAAAAAAATCCAACTAACCCTGTAATTGCACTTCGGTCCTTAGAGTTTGATATGCCAATTCAGTATTTCAACTTGAATGCAAAGCTTTTAAATTTCAAAAATGGCCAACTTCAACTTGAGACACTCGATCAAGTCTCCTTCTTGTTGAAATTAAAAAAATAAAATAATTTGAGATTATGACTGGATGTGAGTAGACTATAGAGTAATATGAGTGTACGAGAATCACTGAGAGATTGTATTTGATTAAATGATTGCTATTGTGATAGAAATGGATAAGGGTTAGTTATAGAGGTAATAAGTAATTGAATTGACCAAAATACCCTCATAAACTAGCCATTTATAGTTTCTAAAAGGGGTTTTTGGTCATTTATAAAGTTTATTTGTCACTTGAAATACCCCTTAAGCTAGCTATTAATAACCACTAGGGGCATTTTATTCATCTTTGCACCCCCTTTGATAAAATACACAAATACCCCCCTAAATAGTTGTTTATAGTTGTTGGGGGATATTTTTGCAATTATAACCTCCAAATAACTATTGAATTTAGCAAGTCAGGCTGGACTATGGGCCAAAAACCCTCAGCCTAACCTGGCCTTAGGGAGATCAGCTTCTATCAGGACAAATCTATGCCCACACCGTTCTAACAGACTTTTGCAACCTTGCATTAGGAATATCTTCTCATGAAATAAAGCACATAAGTACGGAGATATTCTCAATTCAAGGCAATAAAGGCTGCTCTAATGGGCTTTGCCCTAACTGAAGCCGAACTCAACCTTAGGGGTCATGTCGTGCTTGACACAACTTGTCACTATAATTGGGAAGGCTATTTTCCATTGAGTATGGCCATTTGTCCTAAATCGACGTATTTAACATATCTATGACCCTAAAAACTGCTACATTTGGGTGGATGTGTTTTGATATTTTGAACCTTACATTTGAGGAGCACCCCATTAATCTATATACATTTTGTTTTCTTTTTCCTTTATTAAACTAACCAGGTCAGTCTGTTTTGGAGGACCCAAATGTTTACATGGAAACATCCCGTATTCCAAATGAGCTAGGTATTCCTATGAAAATACCCATCAAACTCCAACTTTATATATAATCCTTTTTGTTTCTTGCTGCAAAAGGAAAATACCCATCAAACTCCAACTTTATATATAAACACAATTCGGCCAACTTTATATAATCCTGATTTATAGAAAGCCATGCTTATCTAATTTAAAGAGCAAAACATATATGAAAAAACACACGTATTATGCATGCTATGTATATGTCTAGATATTTTCTTGTTTGATGTTTTTACTGGTTCTTTTAATATAAAAGGTGAAAAAAAATGATTGTTTCAAATAATTAGACTTATGTGAATTATGACAGGTCTCCTACTGAAAATCTAAAATCATGAAATTATCAATAATAAAACATAAAATGACAACTTGTCATTAAAGATTAGGGCTTGAGTAAAGATAGATTATGATTGTATGTAGCAAGGCCATAGTTCATATGTAAGTTGGGTTTGGGTTGGATCAAGTTGCCGAAAGGGTCAACCCTAACCCAATTCGATGTGAAAGTTGAGTTGGGAAAGTCAACCCTACCTACTTATAATCCAAACATCGACCAAACGTTTTTGGGCTGGGTTTCAGGCTAACCTAACCGAAGTTGCATCCCTTTTGTGTGTGCCATTTTTCTCTAACCATATAAAAATGAATCAAATGTATATTAGATGGGATTATAAATCCCAAATGAAAGATACAACTAAAACAAGTGAAAAAGAAATCCAAACCCACTTAGAAACTTGCCTAAGCTTAGCATGAATTGTATTAACTTGGTTTGACAAACTCAGATTTTGAATTTGAATTATACATGATGGGCGAGGCATATTCACATTGGGCAGAGAAAAGTTGGGATTCTACATGACGGGGACGCCTAGTAGGGTCGAGGGCATGGTAAACTACCCAATAGTCATAAAGGGGATCTCTGGGTGCATAGCGGGTTGGTCCTGCCCCCATGTAATCGAGTTGTTGTTGTTAATAGGGTTGTTGACTGGAGTGTTGTTGGAAGATGCCATTGATGACATATTTGGAAAGGAAGTGTGAGAGTATGATTTTTGTGTAGTGTTTTCCATAGACGACGCCAATTGATGGTGTGCGGTCTAGTAACTCCCTACTAGAGGACAACTCTTATGCCGACCTGAGGTCTTGCCTAGTTATTTGCAATTCGACTTACTAGGATGGTACCAAGGTCATTGATGCAGTTGTGAAGTGTCCGAGGTGCTCCTAGGGTCTATTTACATGATGCCGATGTGTCACTCCGTTGTTCTACAATGCCACATGTTGTAATATCATTGGAAGACCAAATTACCCCTCATGAACACCCATATTAATTCCAAACGCATGTAAAAAATACTCTCATGATTTACACTATTCTTCCAAATGTACAACAATATAAAGTAACATCTGACCGGTTCATCTTTTGCGCTAACATGTCTGGCCATTTTTCTTTTACATCGGAGTAATTTTGTATTTACACCTCAAACAAATGAAACCTAAGGATCTTTTAATTATTTTTCAAACCATGGAATAAGTTTTTGTCAACTAAGGATATGTTTGGTTTAAAGGGAATGATAGGGAAAGATTGTTCTTATATAGGTTTCCCTACCTTCTCTTTCAAACCAAACACAACATAATGATAAAAAAAAGGATTCAAAAACGAATGTGGAGTTAGTCACAGTTTAATATTTGTTGGAGAGTATGGTCAAGATAAGGTTGGGTGGGTAGTGATGGGATCATCTTTGTATTGTTTACAATTGATTTGGTTTTTGCAAGTGAATTCGGTTCAGATTTTTAGGCTGCATTTATATAGATTAGTGTAAAACTTCACTCGAAGATTTATATGTAAATGAGGATCAATGTAAAATTTTACTACGTTGGGATGAAAATCGTGAATCAATGTAAAACTTCTTCACTCACAATAGAGATTATATAAATACAATATCGATAAAATTGATATAATATTTACATTAAGAATGGCAATGGGGCAGGGATCATATTCTCTGTTTCTAACCTCGATTATAGAAGTAACCCCCATCCCTATCCCCGACCCCGACCTCGATCGGGAATTCCTATTAATCCCCGTCCTCACCCTGCCAAAACAATCCCCATCCCTATTCCCATCGGATTGGAGAAGTCGGGTCCCCGCCAAGGATGGGGAAAATTGTCATCCCTAAAGCTCTGTTTGGTTTGTGAGAAGATTTGGGTGGGATGGGATGGGAAAATATGGGATGGGATGGGAAAGTGTAAAAAATTATACTTCCATTGTTTGGTTTTAGATATGAGAAAATAAATGGGAAAAATACTATGACGAAGAAAAGAGGAGAGAGGGAGGAAGGGGAGGTAGCAAATTTGGGTTTGAAGGGGGAGGTAGTAGATCTAGGTCCGAAAGGGGAGGTAGTAGAAGAAGAAGAAGCCACCGCCACTGCTCTGCTTCTGGGCTCAAACGGGAAGGTAGCAGATATGGGTTTGAAAGGGGAGGTAGCAGAAGAAGAAGGAGAAGTCGCCACCACTGCTCTGCTTCTAGGTTCGAACGGAGGTAGCAAATTTGGGTTCGAAAGGGGGGGTAGAAGAAGAAAGATCTGGGTTCAAAAAGGGGAGGTAGCAGATTTAGGTTCAGGAGAGCCACTGCCGCTGCTTTGCTTCTGAGTTCGAACGGAGGTAGTAGATCTGGGTTCAAAAGCTGCCGCCGCTGCTCTACTTCTAGGTTCGAAAGTAGGTAGTAGATCTGGGTTCAAAAGCCGCCGCCACTACTCTACACTGCTTCTGTAACGGTGATTTCTCAAAATTTTCCACCGGAGTTGCACGGTTTTGGTACGACTCCAAATCTAAGATTTTGGGTTATGACATCCTATATTTTTCTCATTCCATCCCTCTATTTCCCTCAAAACAAATGAAGGAAAAGAGAATATTTTTAGAATATTCCTATTGCACAAACCAAAAGGAGCCTAATTTACATGGACAAACACGCGTAAAGGTTCACAAATTTTAAATTATCCGGTGTTCAAATCCATCCATATACTTTTACACCCAAACAAACGCAACCTTATAATTGGTTCGATAGTTTACCCAAAAAAGAAAAAAAAAAGTTTTGGTTCGATTTTTTATTGAACACCCTAGCTAGTAGTTTTGGCAGCTTCACATGCGGCTGGACAGCTGCCGACGTATCACTGGGGATCCGGCCGATAGTTAACTAGAATATCCGACGCCCTAAATTACAGAAAAGTCTCCTCGTACTCCTTTTGAGAAACTCCGAGTCTCCGACCATTTTCTTGCTTTCCCAGTAGTGTCGATGCGATGTCTTTCGCACGGATTGGTAATTCCCTGCCATTCTCCAGGCTCTTCAGGTGCATTTACCATTTCTTTCTGAAATCTGTTCTTCTTTTTCTTTATTTGTTTGCTTTGCCGTTAGTTTCATTATTTTTTTCTGGAAGTGATGATCACGACTGCTATCTAGGAAGATCTTCCATTCTTGTCACGCTCATTCCCGTGTACCGTAGTCAGATAAAACCGGTGTCCGATAAACATCGAATCTTTTGATTCTCAATCTGTTAGGGCTTTTGAAGGATTGAAAACCATTTTGTTTGGACTTTGGTGGAAAACCCACTTTGGAAATGGAGGTTTGAGTTCTACGTATTTCGTTAATTCTAGGGGGTTTTCTCCGAACCAAATGAGTGGACTCTTCGAACTTCGAAGTGCCTTATCTTGAATCGACCAAATTAGAGTACTGCACTACTGCCTCTAGCTCTTAACAGCTATCATACTGGAATTTGTCTTGGTAAGATGAAGAAAAGAGGGGGAAATAAACATAGACTAGGAGACACAACCAAAATCAGTATTTATAGTTAAAAAAATATTTCCATATCTTGTGAATTACATCACCATATTATCTAGTATAATTTGCATCAGTAAATCTGAAGATTTATCCTTGCTAGCTAGGAATGAAGATGGAATTCATTAAGTATATTGGAATATGTACACATAAACGTCCCCTCAAGATTCAGTGGTTCCGGAATAGGAGAGCCCGTGTAACACTGATTAGATCTGTTGGCTTTTAAACTAGAAGAATTGATGCCAGAGAAGGGCAGCTAAAATTCAGTTTCCTGGAATAAGGTGGAGGAGGGAAATATCTGTGTCTTTACAGGTCATTGAAGGGTTTAAGAGGAATTTAGAAGTACAATTTGTTGTTTCAGCCCTTTAAACATGCATTTATAAGATGTCTTAGTCTCTTAGAAGCTATCTTGTATTTCTGATGTCCATAGATTGCTAGCTTTTGGGTATAAATGTCTAACTACCTTATTTGTTATATGTAAGAGACCAACAAAAGCTAGTTGTCTATGTGTGAAACTGTTTGTCAGGACAGGGGTGTATAGTTGGGGATAAAATCATGGATTAAAGAAGTTTTGAAGGTTCCCTTGTAATAGTTGTGTATTGTTGGGTACTTCTGGTCTCTTGCAAGGTTTAGAATGTTGATTTCAAGGAAAATGTAAATCTTTCAGAAATAGGAAATTTTGCAAGGTTTGAGCCATATCCTTGATTCTTGACAAAAAAAGAAAAATTAGAAACACAGTTGCAGAGAATTTGAATCAACATAACCAGTGTGTACTTTTTCTTTGTTTCTCCTCCCTCTGGATCAATATAGCTTGTTATTTCCTATATGGCTTCCCTATCAAACGAGGCCATGTTTTTTGTCAGAATCTCACATGGTTTCCTTCTTTCGCTTGATTTACAGGCAGCTGGAACAAGACATGGAGACTGTAGTAAAGGTACTGCAACCAGGGCCTTTGGGTATCATAGAACACAAGTTCTCTGCTGAAGAAGTATACAATGCAAAGGCAACAGTTGATGGAGCTGTTGATAATTGGAGGAGGAATGCAATCCTAGAGAAGAGGAGCCACATCTTGGAAGATTATATTCGTATATGACAAATAATTATTAGTTCTTTTTTTTTTCTGGAATTACTCAATAAAAGTTGTTCATGTAAAAAATATAACATCTTTGTTTCCTTAAGAAAAGTTTGGGATGTCAAGAAAAAAATCAATCCCCACCCTGAAGAGTTATGGACTTTACTAAAAATATTTAAATGACATAAATGCCCTTGAAAGAATCCAACAAAGAGAAGGATGGTAGAACGATTCTATGCTACAGTTTAGTGGTGCTATCATATATCAAAAGCAAAAAAAAGGGAAAAAAATGTCATTTCTCATTTATATTGCAGATTTGTCATCAGGTGTAACATGAACCGATTTTACATTCCCTGTTCTGAACGGTGGGAGATGTTTTATTTTTTCTAGTCACTATCACAGTCTTCAAAAAGAAAAGAATAAAATCTTAGGGCTCTGAATGCTCAGCTTTTATAGTTGATAAACAGAATTAGCAACTGTTGGAAACTAATCTTCCATTCAGAACCTTGCTTTTTTGGAGTAATCGTTGGTTTGGATCTCTAATCAAAAGTTTCTTCACTACGATTACCACATTTTAACCATTATTGAAAGACAACAATGTGTATATGTGTGTGTTTTAGATCAGTAACAGAATGCAATAGATTCATTAATTAATCAAAAAAGTACAAACACAAGGTTGTTTTAAATAATGTATTTTGTGAGAATAGCCCCTGCCATCTCACCCCAATACAAACCTTTTACAATAAAAGACAGCCTCTCAATTTCAAGTCTTTTCTGCTCTTCAAACCAAAAAAAAAAAAAAGAAAAAGAAAAAAAGAAAAATAAATAAAGAAAGAAAGAAAGACAACAATATATGCATAAATAGTTGTTCATGTGCTTTTCTTGTTTTTCTTTTTGGTCTATATACTGATATTTGGTAGCACATGTACCTGATTCAGGACAATAGTCAATAGGCAATGTTCTGAAAAGCTTTTAAACTGTAGAAAAGGTTAAATCAAATTCAATTATGAATTATATCATAAATTGCAAGATAATTTCTGTTTCTTAAAAAAATCATCAAAACAACACACACACGCACACTAAAATCTTAAAGTTTATTGGGGAAAATTAAAACCAAAAAGAGAGGGTAAATGGCAAAGTAAAGAAATAGTCCTAGCTAAATTTATTTGAATTGGATGGCTTGTAAACTTCATAAATCAAATTATAAGATTCACACTAATGATAAGATTTTTTTTCCGAAAACAACTTAATCTTAAAATTTGAATTGGAACCATTGAGATTTATAATTTGAATTGTGAATGATGAATTATATTGTAAATATTAAGATTTCTAGAACATTTATGCTGGACATTTAAGAATGTGAATGTCTGTAGAACCTTTATAAGATTTCTTTATAGATCCCTATCGTGTAGGTCTTTCAAGATTCCGTTTACTTGTTTTATCAATTCACTTATACTTGCATCAAGTCCTTAGCTTTGACATCCATTTTATTTCTTGCTATTAGTTTGGTGTAAAATTGCTACTTCCAGTTTCAAAAGGGGTGTAAAATTCTTGATGTTGAAATATGCTACAATTTTTGTGGAAAAAAATATAAAACATTGATGCACATTTACTACTACATTTTTGGTTGCAGTGAATTATCTCTGATTTCATAACTTTGATACTAACTGAACTATATTAGCCATCAATCATGAAGCTAAAAAGTCATATGTAAAAAAGCTTCCACATCGTTGAAAAATAATCAAATAGTAATTTGCATTCTTACCCTCAAGAGAAGCAATGAGTGATTGCTTTTATACACTCCCGGGGGAAATTAAACCAGAGCTAGCCTATAAGTAAATGACTACATTACATTCTTAGAATTTAGGCCTGTAAAAAACAAACACATGGAACTGTTCATTTTAATTTCACCCTGAAGTAAATAATTGGCTCCCTAGAGTAACTGTAGCAGTTCCATCACCCATGACTGTTGTCAATGTCATCTCATTTTCTAGTATTCGTTCAAGCTCCAACATAACCATGTCCATCTTGGGTCGCCCTTTTCCAACTATGTTCATGCATTGAAACATCAACCTTGTCAAATTCTTCATTCCCTCTAAAGTGAAACAACTAGCTAGCCGATGGTCCACAAAATTGTTTGAATGCAGACATGATTTTACCTTCACAAAGAGGGGACTTAAATAGTAAGGAAGCAGAGAATAAAAGGCTGCATATGAATATTTTATAAGAATAAAGAGGTTACATGCAAATATGCTATAAATGAATATACAAACTTTTTAGCTGACCAAAAATAGAACCTAACTTGACTTTGGCTGCTGAATAATAGCAATGTGAAAATTTATKTTTTTTTTTTTTTTTTTTTTTTTTTTATTAGGATCAATTCTTAATTGGTGATGGAAAACCATTTTGCAAAGACTAGCAACAATTGCCTTTATTCTGGAACAAAACGATTTAAACATACCAATGAAGCAAATCGTTTTCCAAGCTCCAATTCCAAGCATGTATTACTTGGGAGGGCATTTAGATGTCAAAGACAGTGCTGTAAGAGGTAATTCAATGTGTAGATTTCTGGTAGTCTTGTTTGCTTGGAGTTTTAAATTTTAATATGCTCTCTACATCACTATAGTGTTTATTCTAGATTTCTACCACCAAATACTGAGCAATTTTGTTTAAGGAAAAAACTGAAAAAGTACATAGGGGATGCTTCTTTACCCACTGCATCAAGCTTTCATGGGATCCCAAGGAATTGATCTTTAATGTCTCTTGTCCTGTTATGAGCTCCAAAAGAAATATCCCAAAGCTGTACACATCACTCATTTCAGAGAATGTTCTTGATTCTCTTACCCTAACAAATAAATCCATAGTTAGTTGATCAAACAAAGGAAAAGACTCACATCAACTATATAATACGGATAGGGGAAATGAAGATACTCGGGATCTTGGAAAACATTGCCACCAGTTTGAGATGAAGAACTGGGATCTTCAATTCTTTCAAGTAGTTTTGAGATCCCTGCATCTGCAACTTTAGCAATGAAGTTTTCATCGACTAAGACGTTGGACATTCTGAAGTTCTTGTGTACAACAGGAGGTATGAGACTATGCAAGTGGCATAAACCTGCACATTTTAAGGTTCTTTCCATAAACTTATTCTTTCTCCAATTCATCATTTTCTTGGCAAGGTAAGAAGAATCTTGGTCATATTTTATTAGGATCTACCTTTAGCTGCCCCTAGGGCTATGGATAGTCTTTGTTTGAACTCCAGTGTTGTTATTGATTCTTGTCCATTATCTGACAAACAACAAAATACTAGCATACATGTATTAATGTGTCCTAACAGTATCAATAGGTTTTACAAATTGAGACTTACCATATATATGGCTGCTCAGACTGCCATTTGGTACATATTCAAAAACTAGCATTTGAGAACCATCTTCTTGGCAGAAACCTAGAAGAGTGACTATATTTCGGTGCTTGACCTCTGAAAGATGAAGTACCTGTTTGGTCACATAGATCATATCACTTCCCATGCCAAATCTTTGTATTCAGGTGAGTATATCTCAATGAACAATTTACAATTTTTAGCTCCACTTTTCAAACATTCAGAGATTTTATAAATTTGATGTGAAACACTCAATTCAGAGATGCTGATTCTTAATTATTTTAGTAATGCATGTAGGAACAGTGGCCCTTGACTGTGAAAAAGCAAACTAAAGAATGTCCAGAGTTTGTTCACACAACAAAGGATCCACAAGTTGACAGAGTCTGTGTGCCCAGAAGAACCTTGATCTTAATACATTTATCTAGAGTTCTGTTATGGGTCTAGGATCATGCTCGAGAGAGTTGAGAATAAGAGTTAAAATTTCTGAACTTAAAAGAAGAATGAAAAAAAGCAAGGAGAAGTTTTTAGTTTATTCAACAAGGAATGTCCACAAAATGTTAAATGCACATAGCATCTGATGAATTACATTTTACATGCAAGAGAGTGGTTATACCTCATTTACAAACTCTTGTCGAGGGGCACTCTGGCGCCTTTTGATTGCCACTATTGTCCCATCACTAAGTAAGCCTTTGTACACCAGACCAAAACTACCCTTTCCGATAAGATTGCCTTTACTGAAGTGCTTAGTTGCTTGCTCCAACTCTTCCAAAGTGAATTGCTTCACTCCCTGCACCTCAGGTATTGAAGTAGCTCCTTCAGAACTAAACCCATGTCTTCTATTTGATTCCACTGCTGATTTCAATAGAGAGAAGCAAATATTACTTGGACACATGCATAGTAGAGTCTCCATTGACTTACACAAAACAGTCTTACCTACTGCAGACGGGTCTGAAGAGCTTGTCTCAGAATTCCTGTTCCGGTGCTTCTTACATTGTGACCTACAGAACCATATGAAACAAGTAACCGTCACAAAAAATGCAATCCCCCCTGTAGCACAAGCAACCATGGCTCCATATGGCCTGGACATCTGGCAGGAGCTTTACGTCTCTTTCCACAGACTCAAACATGGAACCTGCACAGTAAATGAGCCAAAGAAGTAAAATCAAATGGGTTGACACAAAACTTGGATATATTGCCCTTGCCCATCTTCAAAGCAATTATGGTGATGATACATTGAGAAAAGACCTGTAGAAAAACTGGAGTTCCATTTTTCATACCAGTAGCAGTGTCCCTGGGCAAACATGATCAATAGTCCTACCACCTCATGTGGTGTGGGCTTTACGTTGCAACACTCAAGACTTGACTTGGGCACTACTTTTACGGCCAAATAAAACTTAAGGAAATTAGAAGACAACACACTGAACTTTGCAAATACCCCACTTTACTGTCCCATTTCCAGCATTTCCTCCAATATGATGCCAGAGAATCATCCCCTCTGTTGGAAAAACATCGCACTCTTCAGGAAATATATGGAAAATGACAAGCAACATATAAACTTTGTTGGGGACTTTGGGGTTGGAGGGGCCGGTTCCTAAAAAGTTAAAAGCATCCAAGTTCAATTATCTCTTAACATTATGTCATGCATTCTCTGACCATCACCAGTTTTGATCTAACCATATTTTACTTTCCAAATCGGTTCCCTAAAGACGATTACATAATGATTGGACCAGATTACTGGAACCCTAAGATGATTATTTGATTGGTGATAACAGAACAAGAAACCTTGTTTAAGTGAATGAGATCATTACTCGTACCCAGTACATTTGGATGCTTTTGGACGTGCAGAATGGACCGAGGCTACTACCACCACTCTATGGTATCGTTTATCCAAAATTCCAGACTGAAAAGAACATAATATCACCCAGCCCATGTGAGGTGATGCCTGATTTTACCTTGTGGCTGTGGCATGGACAGGTAGAAAAGTGACTTTAAATGTACTCTTATTTTAACTTTCTGAGGCATCATTATTGAAAGGGATCGATAGCAAATAAACAAATAAAGGCTACTAGTGAGCCTCTCAATTTCAAATCTTTTCTGTTCTTCAAAATTCAAATAAACAAGAAAAAAAAAATCAAGTCTTTTCCTCTCAGAGTCTGCAGGGTCCACCCTTTTCCCTTTTGTTCATCTGTATGGTAAGGGTGACTTGCCATTTCTGTATGAAGGGGCCCCTTTCACAAGTGGTGTCATGACAACCAACAAGACATCATAGAGCAAATTCAATCGAAACCCAGTTTCCAATTCTAGATCTTCTTGATTTTATAGCATGAAGGAAAGCAGGGTGAAGTTTCTTATTGAGCTGTTCATTTGTTCTCTTCTCCCTTGACCATTTATCTATCTTGTCTGCTTTTCCGAGTGGTTCTCTTATATCTCTGGGTTGTGCTGGAAAGCAGAGGGGATTGGTGTGAAGGGGCAATTTAATCTTCTGTAAATCTGACGGCTTGATGGAAAAGGCCTGTTGACAGACCTGCAACAGTAAGTTGGGAGATGAAAACAAGGTTTATAGGGAAATGTGGGTTTCTCAAACTGAGTTTTCCTTGTTTGGTTGTGTCTGGGCCCTTGTTAAAGTGGGGCACATTTTCCAGTTATTTTTCCAATTATCTCCGACGCTACCCCAGCCAAGCAGATCTATAGCTATTTTCAGGCCGTTTGATATGCTATTACTCTGATCCGAGGCGTATGGACGTGATTTGGGCAGATCCTCTTTTTGATAAAGAGAAGACCCTAGCATGGGTACATGTTTTAAAAGATAAAAAAACCCCTATATTGATTTCTTGAACTTTATCATTACAAACACTGGATTATTGGTCCTTGGGGAGGTATATCACGCATCCAGTTCATAAATGGAAAAGTCCAAAACACTCAGCCTCATATATTCACGTGTGGGAACTTATTTTTTTGATACGAAAGGAAATAACAGAACTGGGCTATACGAACCCGGATCTCCTGCAAGCGAACTCTGCACACATAGCATCCAGTTGCATAGTGGGAATATTTTCATGAATGTTAAATTCATAGAGATGTTCTCAATACGTGGTTAGATTACCATGCTTTCAGAATTTGTATAGCGTTTTTGCTTTCAGGGAATCCCATTGCAGGCTATACAAGCTTTAAGGATGGCAATTTTCCTGTCCTCCCTGGGAATGGAGATTGCCTTGGTTGGACCAGGGCAGGGGTGGAGATTGATAGTGATATCTAATTGGGGATGGGGATTGAATTCCTTGCCCTGCCCCGACCTCGATTCTATATATTAAATATATACATTTGCAATATTATTTGTATTATATATCAAAATACACTTATATTGTAAATCTGTTTTTTAAAAAGCATAAAGCTTTTAATTTAAAAATTTTGGAGATTTGGACCCAACAAAAACCCATCTTTATCAGGGATCGAGGATGGAGGTTGATTTTTATTCCGAGTAGGAACCAAGGTCAGAGATGGGGAATATGATCCCCGCCCCATTGCCATTCCTACACAAGCCTGGGGTAACCCTACCCCAAGCATCATTGGTAGGGCTGCAAGTCGGACCAGGTTAGGTCGGGTTGAGGCCAACCCTAGTCCAACCCTAAGTTCTAAACCCCCAACCCTAACCCTAACCCAATTCGGCCTTCAACCCAACCAACCCAACCCTAACCCTAACCCTAACTAAATTCCTTCAACCCTAACCCAACCTGACCTAACCCAAAGTCAATTTCGGGCTGGACCCAATCCAACCTTCTTCCCATCCCTTAAAACCTCAGAATTTTTTGATTTTAGATCTTAACTCAACTTTCAGTACATATATTAATCCTATGTTTCATTAGTACTATTTGTTAACGTTTTTTTTTTTTTTGTTCTTTTGGTACATATTTCAGAAAAACAAGTGTTATGACTTATGATAGATCTTTCTTGGGCGGCAAACAACATAGAGGAGATGAAGAATAAAATTTTCAAAAAACATAAATTAATGTTATTAAAGTTTTAGTCTTTCTAATTAGGATTAAGTGAAGTGATTATCTTAAAAGAAATACATGATACTATGTGTTGAGGGCTATACAAATATCATGCACCTAAACAAGTCAATGTATGTTATATACATATAACATATATTTATATATGGCATGTACTGTAGAGTCGAGTTCGATTTGGATCGGGTTGCCTAAGGGGTCAACCCTAACCCAATCTGAAGTAAAGTCAGGTTCATGAATTTCAACCCTAACCCTTACCCTAACCCAAATATCAACCTGACCCAACCCAATGGGTTGGGTTAGGGTTGGTTTGGGCCAACCCGGCTCAAGTTGCAGCCTTATTCGTTGGAACAAATCAAACGAAAAAGGTGATTAACAGAGGAAAGGTCCAGATCATCATGACCCACATTTGTAAACCAAGATCTCCTTTGTTAAGCATCGATAATCAACAGGAAAGCACCTAGATGGAATGGTTCCAAGTGTTCGAAACTTCACGTTTTTGGCTTCCATCATTCTTCACATCTCACAGTTTCCACTGTTGTCATTCTCAAGGCCAACAAATATGTGACTTCAATCCCTTCCCCCACCTCCCACAATATGATTAAATAGCCATACCAGTAGCTCAGGAAGATATGCACCTGATTATCTGTTTAGATTATCTGTTGACCGGTTCTGAACAACATTGATGAAGGGGAATTTGGCCCGACCTCGCAATCACCCGACACGTGGCAAAAACAAGCAACTCGGGACAGTAGAGCGCCCGACGCGAGCACCGAAAGCAAGTTCAAGCCCACTACTGAGCCCGAACTCCACCAGACCGCTCTAAAAGGAGCCCGAGCTCCCTACCAAGAGTCTGAGCTCCCTACGGGGAGTCCGAGCTCCCTACTGAGAACCCGAGCTCCCTGCGAGGAGCACGAACTATATTGGGCCCCAAGTCTCACAAAGCTGTGACCCGAGCTGGCCCATGGCAGCTCGGAACACTCCCCAAACCGAACTCAAGACATCTCGCTCGCCACTCCAACACTTCGCTTCCGAAACACCAGGCTGACCAAGCGTACCTGACACCAAGGACGTCCGTATCCAACGGTGACGCACCTGACTGATTTGGG